ACTAAATGTGGAATGTGTATATCCGTCTCTCTGCTGAACCCACATTGATCTCTGCTTATGACATAATCATTGATTAATTAGCCAATGTTTCGGCATTAATCAACAAATTAACTTTCTATGCGTTGGTTCAAAAGGAATGGAAAATAAATGGAACAACGCAGGAAACGTACATAACGCAGAGCAAAAGACAAACTGAAGAATAGAGCGAGACAAAAGAGAATGTCTTGAAGAGGATAAGACGGATTCCGAACATGGCGAACCCTAGAAGAGGTCTGATCGAGAACCAGAGCCTGTCATCTCTGATTCATCTATTGAAGAAGCCTCAAGCGTTTCCTCTTCTCCTCACCTTGTTCGTGTTGCTCACCTGGATCTCTCTCAGGTTGCAGCACTCCTCGCATTACGCGTCTCCTTCTTCCCATCGGAAATCGACCGTGCAAAGTAACTCCAACGGCGGCGGAATCGCCGGCGACGAAGACAACAAGGCCAATCTGGTCCGGTTTGCGTCTTCGTCGACCTCCCCCATTCGAAAAGACGATCGGGGCTGGTTGCTTAATCCCGTTTCCCTTGCTCGTAACTCTGGGATCAAGGGTTTGTCTCTCTCTCTCTCTCTCTCTCTCTCTCTCTCGGGCTATTGTTCATGTTCTTGTAGGAGATTAAAGTGAGGAAATTTCAGCTTGTAATCATGTAGTTGCCACAAAACTTAGGGAAATTGGCATACGTTTGATCGATATTGTGGTTATTCCCAGTCCTGATTGCGACATTTTCGAAGGGTAATCATAATAAAAAGGAAATCAACCACGAATTCTGTAATTTCCCAGCTGCCAGTCCTTGTTATCAGCCACATTTTCGAAGGGTAATCATATGAGGGTTCTTCCCTATCTCTAAGGATAGTTGTGTGTTCCATGAGCTATTGTCCCTAGCTGCCAATCCTTGTTATCAAACGCTGGATGGAATCCATATTTCTCTTACAGGGGGGCTGAGTTTCGTTGTCTGCTTGTCTGCAGGAGGAGCTGGCTCGTGTGCTTCTATTCATGTCGGTGAGATCCGGCCTGGTGAAATGAGGGGAAACCATAGACACTATACCTGTAACGAGACTTTTGTCATCTGGGGAGCTAAGACAAAATTCAGGGTAAATCTCTCGTCCCTATCATGGCCTCTGCACTGTTTGCCATATCCCAAGGATTATCGAAACTTCTGGTCTGAACTATCACCTCTCTGTATACATAGGACTTATGACCAAAATGAAAAGCAACGGCTATCTGGCTACTAGTCAACTGCTTGTCGATATTACTGTGCTAGATAGACATAAACAGATTAGCTCCTCTAGATATTCGGGGAATTGAAACTGGCTATGCTTGGCATGACATCTTTCTCATTCAAATTGTAGAAGACGAGACGAGATCAGTGCTAGTAGCCTGTCTACCCCTTAACTTCACATTACTGCAGTACATATTTAAGGGGTCTTCCTCTTTGAGCCTCTCATGTTCCGAATAAATTAACCTCGTCATGAATTCAACATCTTTCTCTGCTTGAACTGGCTATGCCCGGCATGATTTTAACCCTAACCATGTTCCGAATAGATTAACCTCTGTCAACCTGATAATTCTTCATATATATATGTGTGTGTGTGCGCGCGCGCAAATGAATTGCAGCTGGAGAATCATAAGGTGGATAAAGGCTTTGGAGAAGTGATAATCGGTGAGGACGAAGTAGCTGTTGCAGCTAGTCCGAGTGGAACTGCCCACGCTCTGATCAACGTCGACCCTTTGCGTAGCACTTTCATTATCGGTTGCCAAGACAGTGATATGCAATACAACAGCTCAACTACAGACTTCAATGTCTGGAAAGATCTGCAGACATAAAAAGAGCCAGGTTAGTTCCGTGGAGTGAATTGGCCGTGGTTACATTGGTATCTTCTTCTTCCTCGAAAGAGCCTCTGCTTGTTTCGTTTTTCGAGTATGGAGGGACTCAACTAGTCAACTCTTGTGTATATAAATAGGTTTTTCCGGGGTCACTGAAAATATGATTCGGGTTTGGCTTTGATCGAGTTAGTGTAGACGGGTCTCCTGCCATATGAACAATGAATTCAAGCTTATTGTGGTGGGCAAAGAAAGAAAAGAAGAAGAAGAAGCAGCAAAGGGTATATTAGAGCATAGGTTAGCATGTTTAAACACACATTACGACCAAATAATCTTCTATTAGGAAAAAGAAAAGAGACAAATGCTTTGAGAACTCCTTGTCTGGAGTCCTGACATGACAAGAAATCAGAAATATGCCCTTAAGGGGAGTAGTGCTCTTTTGTCTTTAGAAAGACAAGTAAAAGTGAAAGCAGACGAGAGAGAGAGAGAGAGGGGGGGGGTTATAATGAATGCCATTCCCTTTTATTGTCACCATTTTAAATGGTTGTTGTTACTAATTTAACTGCGGTTGTTTACAAGAACTAAATCTGGGGCTAAGTCTGTAAACCAAATCTAACGTTCAAGCTTGTAAAAAAAAGGAGGAATGGAAGAAAGAGAAAAGAAATGATAATGTCTGGTAAGGAATGATGGCGAGCTTTGGTTAAATTTTCCTTTATGGCATGTGCCCTTTGGACCAGAAGCCTAAAGTTAAAAAACAAAAAATAACGTAAACCAAAAGAAAAAGCAATTCCCTCAATCACTCTACCCACCCGATAAAAAAAAAGTTGGAATTTATCTTACCGTTGGGAGAGAGAGAGAGAGAGAGAGAGTGGTGTGATGCGAATTACGTTTGTGTTTTGAGAGAGAGAAGGAAGAGTGAGGGAGTGCAGATATGAAGGGTGCTAATAGCACTAAGAAAGGAGTGAACTTGCTTTCTCCTTCCTCCTCATGGCGCGAAAACCCTCATCCTCGCCGGAGAACCTCCAAGTCCGCGGCCGTCTCCGACGTCGGTTGCCTCCCTAGTTTCTTCCACCTCCTCTTCCGCAACCCCCGGAAATCCCTCACCTTCGGTCTCTCTCTCTCTCTCCCCTCTTCTCTCTCTCTCTCTCTCTCTCCGTTTGCTCATATATCAGACGATTTTCCTTGTGTCGCAGGATCTAAGAAGCGAGAACAGAGGACGGTGGTTTGCGCTGCACCGGCGGAGAAAGCGAGCCAGGCGCCGCCGGAGAGACGGGGAGAGGGAGAGGCGGAGAGGATGAATCTGGTGGGGGCGTTGGAGAAGTGCGATCGTGACCTGGAGGAGCTCAGGAGAACCATAGACGCTATAAAAACCACTTTCCTCCACAGCCAGAAACTCCCTCCACCGACGGAGCCTCGTCGTTTCAAACCCTCCGACGCCGGTGAGTTTCTCTTAACATTTTCAGAAAACAAACAATGTTTCATCTCCTCCTTCCATCACTATCCGACAGAATCACTGAACACTGACAAAAAAAAACAGCTGATTGAGATTTCATGATTAGATTAGTGTTTTTTGATCCGAATCTAACAAGTAAAGAGCGTAGGAGCGTGAGAGTGGGAGGGAGGGGCATTGCCATAGTGGAAGACAACAACATACTTCACCTTTTTACGTCTCTTTGGCCTTCTTCTTCCCTCATCATTGAGCTTTACCACATAAGTATTAACTTCACCTAATTTTTTGGGTAACTCAGCAGATAAAATGGGAACACAATGTGTGATACCCGAATTCGAGCCTCATATTAGAAAGAAGAATATAATTCTAATTATATAGTTTGCTCCCGATTTCGGGATTAATTTGGGTTTCGGGAACATGATATCTGATTACCAAAAAAAGTATTAACTTAACATTCCGAATGTTATATTCTAATTTCTAAAACTACATATACATATATATATATATATATATATATGTATATCACCAAGTCAAAGGAGGTCAAACTAACGGTGGAACCCATATATGTTTTAGTGGATTAGGGATGCAGTTAATCTTAAATAAGATCAAAATTCCTTTTGAGTAGAGGATGTGAAAGTGGTTTAGGCATAAAAAAAAAAAGCATGTTGGGAGTATTTTTAACAGCTTTTGGTTTCGAGGCCTTCTTTGTCTTCCGTTGTCTCATCCAATTACACCAAATATCTTTACACTTACTCCTAACTACACATATTATATATATATACACACACACATATATACTCTTTCATCATGTACTACATGCACACATATATATATATATATATATATACTTGTCAAACATGAAACCCAAAAAAAAAAAAATCAAAATGCTAGTATTATATATAATACATATTGATTAAAGAATTAATATTTCATCTAAATTATAATCCAACCCGGTTCGGTTCGACCACAATGACGCAGGAGATGTCTTAAGCCAGCAGGGAGAACCAGAAAAGGACACGACCAAAGAAGACAAAACCGACAACAGCAGCAGCATACATCTGATCAAAACCGATTTCAATGTCGGTTTAGTCAAACCCAACATCGTCATGCCCAAGACAAGCGGACCTGTCGTACGGAAGCCGAGGACGAGCATGGTGGATAGCGTCATCCAGGTCTGCGATGACGTGGCGTGGGGACAGAGACGCGAAGTGGGGAGGATCGGCTTGGCTCTTCAGGACCACATCTGTCGTGATCTCATCAACGAGACTGTTCGTGAACTCTCCGGCGACTTCTCCTCCCCGGCTCCGGCGGTTTATTGCGGCGGAGGAGGCCGCCACCTAACGGTGAAAATTCAGGAGACAAAGAAGGATCTTCCCATGAAAGTGTTCTTCCTCTTGGTGGGTTTCTACTCTGCAACTGCATTCTCTACGGTTATAGGACAAACAGGAGACTGGGACGTGCTTTCTGCTGCACTGGCTGGGCTTGTAGTTGAAGTAAGAGCTCAAGAGCTGGTTTTAAGAGATGTAAACTGCAGCCACCCGTATTTACGGTTGTCTGCCTCTATCTTACTATATACCTCAAAAGCTCATGAAACGCTTCAATCTCGATCCTTGTCTTCGCCATTTTCCGAGGCTCAATCATGGCCAAACCCGAAACCTAGCTCTGTCCGTACCCGATTTGGAATTCGGACCGGAATCACCGTGTGGAACAGCTTTGCTTGATAGCTTGCTGGGGAAGGTACTGGACTCGTACCCAGATCTCAAAACCCTAAAAAGTGTACATTGGAGAATCGTTCTGGATAGAACGGCGGAGGAGGCCGCCACCGCCGCCGTGGCAGCGCCTCACTCCCGTTTGACGCCTGCCGGAAACGATTGGTCTTTTCATGATGAATTAAATTATGCGACTTTTTTTTTTGTCGGGTTTTTAGGTTGTAATTGCTATATTTCTTCTCGTTGACTTTGAAATTTCTCACGACGTGTCCAAGATTCAAAGCGTAAATTTACAAGAACATGAACAAAAACCTGTAATAATTCTATTTATCATTAATTTTTTCAAAGTTAAATTTAACCACCTATTTTTTGTAATTAACCGTGATGGATGTAGAACATTTATTTTTTTAAACATCTCAAATCTATGGACTTACCTTGTATATATACCAATTACATATTTCAATATGGGGTAAGATTGAATCTAACAATATGAATATTTTCCTATCAAGTGGATTAAAAAAGGAAAAGTCAATTTGTTTTTATTTTTATATTACGAAAATAGGTAATGTTAATAGAAATGGGTTGAGGGAGAATCGGAAAAGACCCAGTGAGAAAGCTGACGTGGCAGTCAACGTTCCGCGTAGAGACCGCGTGAACGTGTGATCCATTTCCTGTCAACTTTTTTTTTTAAAAAGCTTGATGGCATGAATGTGAATTAAGGGGAGTACACGAGGGCAAAAAGGAGAATGTGCATTCAAATCGCGTTGATAAAACGCCTCCAGACCGACTTCGGGGCAAAAAACGCGAAGCTCTTGGGCGAGAAGAACTTCTCTCTCGATCTCGCTCTTATTTTTTCCTCTCTCTCGTTTCTCGATTTGAGAAAATTCGAACGCTGTAGGTTTTCGAAAAAGAAGTAAGAGAAAGCAATGGCGGATCAGCTCACCGATGACCAGATCTCCGAGTTCAAGGAAGCCTTCAGCTTATTCGACAAGGATGGAGACGGTATGTTCATCCCTCCTCTGCACGCTACCTCGGAGATTCTGGTCTCTTAGATGTTTTTTTTATCTATACGAGTGATGATAGGTACACCGTTTGTCTTAGATCTCGGTTTCGTATTCGTACGATACGCTGGCCTTTGATCTGTGTTCATATCGATGGATACGGGTCTGTATTTCATTGTTTCTAGCTCCGGATTCTTTTTTTGAGGTGATGTTTCGGCATCTGAACGCCGGACCATATCGTGTTTTAGGATTTGAGTTCGGATGATATAGTCGATCGAATTTGAAAGAAAAAAAAAACGGTGGTTTATCCATTTAATCTTCCAGACGTCTGCTATTCCCGTTTTGATTTCTCTTCGTTTTAATGAACGGTTGTTGATGTTTCCGCAAGATTCCATCGGATGATACTAGTGCTAGATTTCCCTTGGTCACGGCCTGATCAGATTGCCATCCCTTGAGAGTTTTGGACGAGGCTTAGTTATATCTAAGTCGTATATTGTTTATTGTTCTGCCAAATGCTGTACAAAACCGACAGTGAGGAGGATTTGCAGTATCGCTAATTGGGTAACTATGGTTTCCACTTACGTCCTGTTTGAGTTCTGCGTACATCAGGACTTGAGTTTTTGCAAGGACGTTTGTCTGTGTAGTATGCCGGATGTTATTAGAGTATGTGTTGGCGTATTAGGAGTAATTTGGCTTAGTGTTAGTATACATCGTTTTCATATTAATCCAATAAAAAAAATCTTTCCAAATTCTTTCCTCCGTCGTTGAATTCTAGAGAGAATTCAATATGGTATCAGTGAATAGATTTTTTTGTGGAGATTTCATCTATTCAATACTCTGTTTGTTTCTTTTTTCTACTTTGATTCAAATCTTTCCAAACTTTCCCTATTTGCTTTGATTCCATTGTTTTCGGAGGTGATCCAATTGTGAATCCCCAATTTGTCGGTCTTAAACAAGTGAAAACATAATGCTGAGTTTACAACAACAATGGTTGACATTTTGCAGGTTGCATTACCACAAAGGAGCTTGGGACTGTGATGCGTTCCCTTGGGCAGAACCCAACGGAGGCAGAGCTCCAGGACATGATCAATGAGGTGGACGCCGACGGAAACGGAACCATCGACTTCCCCGAGTTCTTGAACCTCATGGCCAGGAAGATGAAGGACACCGATTCCGAGGAAGAACTCAAGGAGGCTTTCCGGGTCTTTGACAAAGACCAGAACGGTTTCATCTCAGCAGCTGAGCTCCGCCATGTCATGACAAACCTCGGCGAGAAACTCACCGATGAAGAAGTCGACGAGATGATTAGGGAGGCCGATGTCGACGGTGATGGCCAGATAAACTACGAGGAGTTCGTCAAGGTTATGATGGCCAAGTGATGTGCGGAGAAACCTGCTAATACTATGTAATATTCCTAGTTGCTGTTCTAATTTCATTCATGGAGTTTTAAAACTGTTTTTGGTCAACTGGTTGTTCCGACAAGAATGTTATCCCTTTCATGTTGTAGTTTGCATCAGACATTTGTATCAGCAAATCAAATCTCTGAGCGTGTGTGTGTGTATATATACTGCAGATACAAATCTAACGGCTATTTCTATGAACTGGTCTTGGATTCTCAAAAGCTCCAGGTACCTGCAAAAGCAGAGAGATGATCCTCCGAGGCATCGAGGGTCGGGAGCTTAACGTGAGGAGGCTCAGATGAGGCGGAGGAAGAAGAACCCGGAGGACGGAACACGATTGAAGTTGTTTCGGACATTCCATTGTTGAAGTCGACAACGGTCTCTAGCCGATACACGTTCTGTCCGGCTGCATAACCTCCGAGAAGTTGATACGACCTGTCCGATTGGTCCATCGCCAAACACATGTCTTCTGAACCTAATCAACGTCAATCATCGAGTTACCGATATTGAATCGCATCTTCAGTCTCGTGGAAACGAACGAACTTACAGGCGGCCAGTTCGAGCTGCGTTTGGTAGACGAAGTTCAGAACGGCGGACACTTCTTGCTCGAAATCGTGAAACGGTCCGTTGTTGAAGTTCATCTTCCTCAGCTTACAGATCCCTTCTCCCAGTTCCATCATTGCTCCTTTATGGTTCTGCGGAAACACGGACATGTATATATGTATATGTAGACTCTATAAGATCAAAAGGAAGCACTATATACACAGAGAGAGAGAGAGAGATTACGTGATTGAAGAGGTGGTGGAATCCGACGGCGCACTGAAGAATCCCGTGAATTAGGGTTCGAGGAGGCTCCTCTGCTCGGATCCACAGAGCCTCGAGCGCGTCGTGGCATCTGTAGTAATCCCGCCTGTTGAAGAGTTCCACCGCTTCCTCGAAGCTCCAATCCTCATCTCCGCCGTCTTCTTCGTCTTCTCCGCCGTGATCGTCGTATCTGACGATCGAGGACCGACGACTGAAGCGAATCCGTACAGAGGAATCCAAGTTTCTGGACACTCGAATCGACGAAGCAGCAGGAAAAGCGCGCAGAGAAGGAGCGAGTGATCCGAACGGAGAAGATGGAGGAAGCGAACAAGCAGAAGGAACCTGGAGATGAATCGGAGAAACCGCCATCTCAGTATCCGTTGATTGGCAGCCTGGTTCTGGATTTTTTTTCCCCCTCCCTCGCTCCTGTCGCCATTTGAGAGAAGGTGAGGTCCACAGAAAACTTCGGTTTTGAGCCTTCATTTGAAATTATGGATAAGAAAAACGGCGAATATAATTAGATCATTGAATCTCAAGAGTCAAAGAGGAATAAAACGGCACGACAACAAGTTAGATATTATACCGACAAACAAAGCTCGAATGATTTGACAATTGAATTAAATAAAGTAAGAGATTTAGGTGTTGAATGGATGGGGTTTTTATTTTGAGTTTTTGGATTTAGTTTTTGGTTTTTGGCTTTTGGTTTTTATAGATTTGTAAATCTAAAAAAATATAGCTTTTAGTTTTTAGTTCAATTCTTTCCATAAAGTGGTTTTCCTGGTTTTTAGGAAAACCAAATTTTAAAAACTTGATTGATAATTTTTTGAGTTTTTAAAATCCAAAAACTCTCAAAACCCTTTGCCATTCAACACCTTAGTTTTAAGAAAATTTCAAGAATTTAGAGAGGTGAGTCTATAAAAAAATTGGAAGATTGAATTTTTTTCCGAATGTCGAGAGAATTTGATTTCATCAAGTTGAAATAATTTAAAAAGAAAATCCCAAAAAAATATTGAAAATTTTAATTTTGACAAAAAAATATCAAATTTTCTTTTTTATCAAATAAAAATTAAACTTTTTAAACGAATCTAAAAACCACTGAATTTTTTAAGTGATCTAAAAAATATATGAATTTTTATGCGATTATAAAAAAAATATTTTTTTTAGTGATCCAAAAAAATATATAAATTTTTTTGTAAAAAAAAACTAAGTAAAATAATCTGATATGATTGCATCTCCACATCAGTAATTTTGTTTATTTTGACAATCGTAGAAGAATTAAGTGTTTATTTTGTCAAACTTAAAAAATTTAATGTTTATTTGATAAAATAAAAAAATCATTTTTTTTTATCAAAATCGATAAGCTGGATGTTTTTTTTTTGAGATTTTCCCTAATTTAAATAATTGGATATTCGAAGGCGTCTTATTTGGAGCATAAAAAAAAGTGAATAAAACAGAGTAGAGAAAGTTTCTAACTGCAAAGATATACGTGAATGAAAAAAATATTTAAATGCTGTTATGGAAACAACGATCTATTTAATTATTCGGACAGGATAAAGACATGGAACATCGGAATACGTTTTCTTCTTATTGCCGTATATACGTACACACAGACAGAAAGAGAGTGGAAAGCCACAAGAACAACAAAACAAAACAAAAAAAAAGCTAACAGAGATGAAGTGAACTCACTTCGTCAGCCATCCACAGCCCGTCCTCGTACTTGTACCATCTCAAGATCCCTTCGTCCCTCTCAGTCCTCTGGCACATGACGCAAGTCTCCACCTCCATACACGTCACCATCCTCTTCAGCCTCCTTCCCTTGTCGCGTATCGTCTCGTCCAGCTCCCTCACCACCCTTCTCTGCTGCTGCTGCTGGCGGGTCCCCCTCGCCGGCTCCACGATGTAGGAATGCGAGATGTTTAGCACTTCCAGGTCCGGTAGCCCGTCGAGTATCGCCACGAGGGCGTCTCGGTTTATGGAAGAGCACCTGAGGCTGAGAACCCGCAGCCCCGGCAGGAGGGAGATGAGCGTGTTCGCAAACAATGGATCGAACGGGCCCATGATCTTGAGCTCGGTGAAGTTCTTGCAGTTCTTGGCGATCTCCGCCATTAGGTATGGAGGGTTTGCGATGCTTGGCATCGTTAACGACTCCAGATCTTTCCATATGCGTATCGCCTTGCATATCCCCGTCTTCTTTATTCTGTTCCAAGCCGGGAGAACTAACCGTTTCAGGCCCGGGCTCCTGCAATGCATAAGATCATGATCCGAGTTACTTGCCCTGAACGGTGGTCAAACCCATTTCAGAAAATACACAATCCAAGCATGGAGCAACCTCGGTTTCAGACTTGCTTCTTAAACCAAGAAAGGGGTTGTTGATCTGGAAGGTACTCAAATAACCGAGATCATGAAATGCGGAAAAGGATAGGGACGAGAGAGAGAAAGGGCATTACCTTTCGGCGGTGTAAGTAAGTTGGTCATCACTCACAAACAGGTTGAAATGAAAGATGAGGGTAGTGGTGCTTCCCGAGCTAAGGTTCATGGAGAGTTTAAGGAGCCGAGTCAGCGTCTCATCAGAGCGGCGTTAAGGCTCCAAAGGGATTTTGATGAAATGAGATCTCATAAACGAAAGATCGAGTGTTTTCCACAGTATGGGATCACAACAAGCCGCTCTCCATCCTCTACAAACATGAGCTAATCCCGATGTCAACTCAAATATGCTAAATCTCTGGAAAATCCTCACTAAGATGTCGCTGTCCAGATCTTCCCATCTCCTGACTACTGTGCTGCAGTCTTCATCCAATATCAACAACTCGAGAGGAGATTCTTGATGATGGAGGTTACCGGGCAATGCCATACCATAACTCAGAGCCCCAGACAAGCAGGAGAATCTTTATCAACAAACTACAAATGCAACTGAAAACCCCGCATACTCCAAGAGCACTCATCCATAAACCGATCTTAAGAAGTGAAAAACATGTAAGAAACTCACCTGAAAGAAAGAAGGAAACATTAACTCGTGGAAAGTCGAGGAGTTGTAGAAGCAGAAGCAGGAAACAGTAACATAAAGCAGCATGGATTCGACGGGAATCAGTGCACGCAAGCAAAAAAAATCTCATGCTAAAACCTCAGACAGGAGAAAATATCCATGACTCTGGCAATCCATGAACACCTAACAAAAATTTTGGGATTCGAACTGAGAACACCAAACAGATGCGGAGAGAATATGAGCATCTCCAAATTTTCAAGTTCCCGTATTTTACGACAAAAGTTTTACCAAGTTACTCCCTTTCTGTGCACTTCACGCCGATGTATACAGTACATTTAGTCAACCAGATAGACAGCGATAATCACTCAGAGTTTCAGACAGTAGCCAAAATGACAACTTGGCTCTTAGTGAGCTGTACATGCAAGAACTAAGAAGGATACTGCAAAGAAACAGCATTAACAATTCCATGTCCGAATATCATAATAAATATATGTTAAAAATTATGGGTGACAGCTTGCAAGATCGGCTCAGGAACATTTCAGAATCTAAACGACACCCAAGATCGACAATTTTGTAGAGTTGGAATTTCTAGAGCAAGTCACGGACAGTTCATCGCCCGAACCAAAACCCTAAACCCAGAGGGTCAATTCTGAATTCAGAGATCGAACTTGCCCTTGTTCGAAATTCATCAAAGCCCAAAACCGGAAACACAAAATTACTCGCTCATTGAGATTAAGACGCTCGGGAGTGTTAACCTAGAAGGAGAAATCGACCCGGATAATGAACCCGAATTCGAACAGATCTCGCAATCATCAGTGTCTCCACCTCAGGACAAGAGAAAATGCCATCAGATCGGACACGAATACCACAGCCGAAACAAAATCGCCCCATCGAACCAAAGGAATGAACAAAGGGACAGAGACGAGAGAAAGGGATGCTACCTGGTCCCGACAGCGTCTGCAGCAGCGGAGATGGTTGAAGAATAACAAAAATTCACTAAAAATCTTTAACAAAAAAAAAATTCACTAAAAATCTGAATCGAAATGGATGCAGAAAAAAAAAAAATATATATATATATATATATATATATATAATAAAATCCCAGTAAAGGAACAGATGTCAACTTGTCAACCAAGTAATTGTGAAACTAACAAAGTTTTTTTTTTTTTTTTTTTTTTTTTTGCCGAGACTATTCTTATAGTGAAGCAAAGATTGTGAGCCCCGGAATGATAGATATATAAATGGTTTTCTTATAAAATAAAAAGACTTATATTATTACAGCAAAATGACAGCTCGATGGGTGGTGTTACATATCATCAAGTATTTTTTTTATTTCAAATTTTCAAACCCAGAAAAAAAAAATACAAATACGTATATACATGTATGGTCGGTAGACCTCAATTTTTAGAAAAATAATGAGTTCAACTGTAAAAACGAATCGCATATTGACAGTGAAGATGCGAATCAGTTCAAAATCGAGGAGACAAAATAGGGGCCTTTATTGCAAGCCCCGCATATGCAAAGCCGACCCAATTGATTTGAACCGGACCCGGTTCGGTTCGGATTTAAGCCCAATGTCATAGTGGACCGGGCCTATCGCCAACCACAAAGCAAAACTTAAAAATGGGGTAATAAAAATAATTATCTATTATATTTTCATATTTCCAATTTTGCATACTATACATATTACATATATAATATATGGTTTACATCTCTGTGCATAGATACTTTTTAAAAACGAGATGTAACGTTTCATTCCAACATAAAAGAAAATTATTGAATGTATAAAGTTCTTTTATGTACACGCACACTAATAAATTTTGAACATCAACCTTACCAAAAAAAAATATTGAACATCACAACCTTTTTTTTTAGACCACATCATTTTCATTGGAATAAAAATTTGTATAGAGTGTACAAAATATAAGAGTAATTTAGGTTCCATAACAGCCATTCCGGAATGTCGAAAATACGGATGTCAATTGGGTTGGCCCAACCCATTTGAATTTGAAGGATAAACGGGTTGGGTTGGATCGACCCGTTAATAATAGTGGGTTGAGTTGGATCGACCCATTAAACCTGTATAAACCATATAAATCCATTTATATATTCACAAATTACTTATACATATGATGTATAACTATTCAATGGATTCGATTTATCGATTCAATAAAAATATATATAAAATCGGATATTATATTATATTCGATAGTTTATAAAAAAAATTATACATTTCTTTAAAAAAAATCAGATTTTTTGATTTTTTAAATTCGATTCGATGTTTTAAAAATATTGTCGTTTAGATTTTTTGAATGGTCCGGTTCGAAAACGACAACGATTTTTTCAATACAATTCGATTCAGAAACGGTGTCGAGTTTTCCGGTATGATATAGATTTTTGATACGATTCGATTCGGAACGGTATCGAAAAACGACACCGAGTTTTTCGGCACGATTCGATGCGAAAACGACACCGAGTTTTTGGGTACGTTTCGATTCGGAACGGTACTGAGTTTTTTATACGATTCGAATTTTCCATCACGATTCGATTCGGAAAGGACACCGAGTTTTTCGGTACGATTCGATTCAGAAGAGTACTGAGTTTTTCGATACGATTCGATTCGAAAACAAAACCGAATTTTTCGGTACAATTTGATTCGAAAACGATACCAAATATTTCGATTTAATTCATATATATATATATGTATGTATATAAATATCTATATATATTAATTTTTATATATCTAAATATAACAATTTTAATTAGTTATAAAATGAGTTTAATTTTAACTAAATATATAATGAGTTTAATGGGTTAACCATTTAACTCATAAATTTAATGGGCTTAAACTCATTTAACCCGTTTTAAAAAATTAGCCATTTGGGTTTATAAGTGGATCGGATTGAGTCGATCCGTATAATCCGATCCATTTTGACATCTCTAGTCGAAAATGACTACTCAAAGTCTCAAACCATATATATATATGTCTGAGAATATATAAATTACATGTATATATGTTGAAATAGAAAAATGAATATGTGATCGGAGGAAAATATAGATTTTGATTTTGAAATATTATTTACAATAATATATGTATATCAGCATATACGTTACTCTAATTTTGAAAACAAGTCATCTAAATATATTTGTGTCTTATCAAATATTTATATCATATCTCATCTCTCATATATCATACATATATACACATGTGTGTGTGAGTCCATAAACGTTACATGTATATAGAGATATGTGTGCGTGACAGTGTGTGCGAATATTAGGTAAATAATTATCAAAGAAAAAGTGGACGTGGCATGAACATGCATGGGACACTAAGAGAGAGAAAACTCTATTATACAGTTACGACTACTGATCTCTCTCTCTCTCTATATATATATATATGTATCGACAGTACGCATGTCTTTATCATCATGTTTTTATAAATTGGAGAAAAAGAGGAAATGGTAAAAAAAAATAATCATGTAATTGAAAGGACCAGGGTTTAGGGTTTTATATTTACCCAATCTTCCTTTTTGGTGGGAATGATTTTCTATGTCATTTATCGAAAATTATATATAATCATTGATGATTCTAGTATATAAAATTGAATCAAACCTAATAAAAAATAATGTATGATCATATTCCAATTGAATTGTATATAAATGTAAATGCAAATATAGTACGTTTTTAAAATTAAATTAATTAAATATATAATATTGTTTAATAAAAAAATCAAAATAGAAATTAGATATATATAATTTTTATAAAATCGATAAAATCAAATACAAAAATAACAGATTCATAAAAATGTCATAGACGCGATGGTTATTAACTTATTGTGATTAATAACATTTGAATAAGAACGTCATTATATATATATATATATATGTGTGTGTGTATGTATGTATGTATGTACAAGGAAACAAAGTTGGGGAAAAAAAGATTTTCATCCAATCATATGACATTCAACTGCTGCATTATTCTTTAGGCTTAGAGTATTTATTCCTTCACGGTCAAGAAAATTAGTGGTGCGTCATTACATGCAATCATGGATAATTCCATACCAACATGATTTATTTATTTATTTATTTATATGATTATACTGTCTAGATTTTGTCATCGACTAACCTTTCATTTCTTAAACCTTTCATTTCTCGGTATTTCTTTATAACATTACCGATGCCATTCACATATTTCGAGTTTGGATTTCGTTTATCTATTTTTATTTATTTATTTAAATTTATACGCGCTCGATTTTTATATTAGATTTTATAGTCAATTTTATTTTGTATTTGTCTTTCAGTTAAAAGTATTATTTTAAACTTTTATTCAGTTTTTTTAAAATTTTCTAATTGAGTTCATATACAGTTAGATATGATTTAGTTCAATTAAACTATATATATACACTTATTAAAAAAATTAAATGCTTATACATACGTATACGTATTAAATCCTATACGTTTTAGGGTCTTCATGCAAATACGTGCATATGTTGTCACGGCCCACAAAATGCCCAGAAAGTTGGTCAAAGTTGGAAAACCACATAAAGCAAATTTCAATATCTACGAACAACTTCAACACACCAGTTTCATATTTCTTTCATTTTTATCATATAATATACACATTCATGACATGGGTCAGACCAACCATATAAAAAAAGGCTGATTGATTTTTATTTGATTAAATTAAAAAAATAAGGTGGAAATGCAAATGATATTTTATATGGAAGAGCAGCAATATGGGAAAGACTGAAAACCACAAAACCCCACTTCCATTATTATTATGATGAAGCAAGAAAAAGAAAGACACTTTCTCCCTCTTTCTTAGCAACCAAACAACATCTTAATCCCATTAACAAAAAGAGAGAGATAAAGGAATGAAATATACGTTGTTAAAATAAAAAAGAAACAAATAATTAAAAAAATGTCAGATTTCTTACTTTTGATTCTCCTTTTTTCTTTTTTCTTGGTGCTACTGAGCTGATCATCTTTTCTTTTTACAAGCTTCTTCTTCTTCCTCTCTCTCTCTACCTTTATTCGTAGACGCTTTGCTTTTGCTTTACTTCCTCTAGTGTCTCTGCTTTACTTCTTGTTGGAGTGAAATTCGTTTCCTTTCTTCGTCTTCCTCGTCCTCTTCTCTCCTCCTTTGTCCCAGAAACATCTTCTCTTGCAATCTGCCCGATTTGGGGTGTGTTTTCTTCTTGTATTCTTCTGATCTTGCATTTCCATGTGCTGTAAAGTCGAATTGCCTTTCCTTTCCTGATTTGTGGTGTTTTGGGTATTGGGTTCTGTTTCCTGGGAAAATTTTTGTTTCTTTCCCGGGAAAATTTACCGCGTGTTCCTTTCTGGGTTTCTGGAGAAGAACCTGGGTTTTTCCCTCCTCAGTATCTGACTGATTCTCCGATCATATTTTTGTGTGGTGTTCATCTGGATTCGTCTCCCTGTTGGTTTCGGCATTGAATTCTCGATTCATCTCCTCTCATGGGTCTCTGCCACGCAAAACCCATCGAGCACCAATCAAAGAGTCTCGCACTCGCCATCTCCGGCGAGGCTGAGGAGGCACCGCCGAAATCCTCCCGCTTTCCGTTCTACAGCCCAAGCCCCTTACCGAGCCTCTTCAAGACCTCACCGGCGGTATCCTCGAGTGTGAGCTCCACCCCTTTCCGCATCTTCAAGCGTCCCTTCCCTCCTCCGTCGCCGGCGAAGCACATACGCGCCCTGTTGGCGCGTCGGCACGGCTCCATCAGGCCCAACGAGGCCTCGATCCCTGAAGGGAGCGAGTGCGAGGAGATCGGTCTGGACAAGAATTTCGGCTTCTCGAAGCAGTTCGGTTCGCACTACGAGATCAACGACGAGTTGGGTCGCGGCCATTTTGGGTACACTTGCTCCGCGACTGCGAAAAAGGGAAGCTTGAAAGGCCAAGATGTGGCCGTCAAAGTGATTCCCAAATCAAAGGTTCGTTCTTTATCTCTTGTTTTATGATCAATGCTCATTTCTGGTCTTAGTCCAGCTGTTTCTGATTTTTTGTATTTTCTTTGGATGTTTTGCGCAAACTGTTGTCCAACATATGGACGATCAGACATTCTGGTTGTGCTTCATTTATCTGCTCTAGTAGTTGCCAGAACGTGTTTTGATGCTCTGTTATTACATAATTCACTAAAATTTACAACTCTGAGAGAATAGGCTGGTGATGATGCTGTTGTACAATTGGTGTGAACATAGATGAAACAGAGTTCCTCAGACAGTCCTTTGTCCGTTAGTTTCTTGTCTGAGTATCTTAAACGGTGGTTTGTATTAGTTAAACGTTATGGATGATATCGTTGGCAGATGACCACGGCAATTGCAATAGAGGACGTTCGACGAGAAGTGAAGATCTTGCGGGCTTTGACTGGTCACAAGAATCTAGTCCAGTTCTATGACGCGCATGAGGATGACGAAAACGTCTACGTTGTCATGGAGTACGTATACCCTACCTCGCAGATTTCCCGAGCTTATCATCATCACCTTCCAGTTTTAGGCTCGGGAAAATAGAGCTTATATGAACTTGCATTCTACTTCTGGATTCTGACATCTGCCCTCGTGTCAGGTTATGCAAAGGTGGTGAACTCTTGGACAGGATACTTCAAAGGTACTGTTGCTTCAGCTTATCAACTCATCTTCTGTTCGATGTCTGTGTTTTATGTTGACTGTTTTTGTCTTCGTTGCAATTAGAGGTGGAAAATACTCGGAAGAAGATGCTAAAAGAGTTATGGTTCAGATTCTGAATGTAGTTTCCTACTTTCATCTCCAAGGTGTCGTCCACCGTGACCTTAAGCCTGAGGTAGTTACTGATTCTACATCAATTTTTCGCGATGTTTTTTCATTTCCATAGCAGATTCTTTTATGATCTCTTTTTTTTTTCCTCTTTCTTTACAGAATTTTCTGTTCACTACAAAGGATGAAAATTCTCCTTTGAAGGCCATTGATTTCGGACTATCCGACTATGTGAAGCCAGGTCAGAGATGTTAATAACACGTGGTTTCTCCTCTGTAGTATTCCATCTCAAGGTTAAACGGAAAATTTGACGGGTTTTTCCATTTTCTGCAGATGAGAGGTTGAAGGACATTGTAGGGAGTGCTTATTATGTAGCCCCGGAGGTCCTACACCGGACTTACGGGACTGAGGCAGACATGTGGAGTATCGGAGTGATAGCTTATATCCTTCTCTGCGGCAGCCGACCCTTCTGGGCCCGCTCTGAATCCGGAATCTTCCGTGCTGTCCTTAAAGCGGAACCCGATTTCGTAGAAGCTCCTTGGCCGTCACTATCTCCTCATGCTACAGATTTCGTGAAACGTTTGTTACACAAAGATTACCGTAAAAGACTAACTGCTGCCCAGGCTTTGAGTAAGTCTCTCTATAACCAAGTGAGGAAACTTTCTTTTTAGTTATATTTGCTCCATTTAGACGTATATGTCGAATGATTGTTCTTATGATTAGGTCATCCATGGCTGATGGGTTTTCATGAAGTGAAGATACCATCTGATATGATCATATATAAGCTCGTCAGAGTGTACATAATGTCGTCTTCTTTAAGGAAATCGGCTTTGCAGGTGGGTCGGGTTTCTCAGCAGCTAACGTATATTATGTTTACTCGGATGCTATCGCTGAAAATGGTTGTAATGATTCTGTCATGTTTCCAAAGGCTCTGGCGAAAACACTAACTGTTTCACAATTGGCTTATCTGCGGGAGCAATTTACGTTATTGGGACCGAGCAAAAATGGATATATCTCAATGCAGAATTACAAAACCGTAAGTCCTCTGCCTTGTTTCAATCTGTTCCCTTTTTTTAGCAGGATTCCGCCATGATTCTTAACACTGTAAGAATTTCAGGCGATCTTGAAGAGCTCAACAGAGGCTATGAAGGATTCAAGAGTCTTGGATTATGTAAACATGGTAAAATGGTTATGACATATCTGATGGTATATGAACTATCCATGTCATTTAGGGTTTGGTGATTGGTGTAATGCTATTCTTTTTGTCTGGACGCAGATTAGTAGCCTTCAGTACAAGAAATTAGACTTTGAAGAGTTTTGTGCTTCGGCCTTGAGTGTGTATCAGCTGGAAGCAATGGAAACATGGGAAGAACACGCACGGAGGGCTTATGAGCTGTTTGAGAAGGACGGCAACAGGCCTATTATGATCGAGGAACTTGCTCCGGTATGCCCCCGTCTCTCCCGTGGATTTACGGTTTTACCCCTGCGGAACTATAACGTGTAATTTACACAGATGATAAGTATCTTGTGAATGATGAATCAAACTGCTACAATAAAGCAGTGATTTTATATTCTTGGTTATCGGTATCTTGTGAAGATGGAATCTTGGTTATGGTATGCATATCAGTTTTTCGTGTCTGAAAACGGGTTTCTGACACTTGGCGAATTCGTTGTGGCAGGAACTCGGGCTCGGGCCATCGGTTCCAGTTCACATTGTTCTCCAGGACTGGATCAGACATTCGGACGGCAAGCTCAGTTTCTTGGGTTTCGTCAGACTCCTACACGGTGTCTCCTCTCGGACATTTCAGAAAGCTTAAGAGCTCCATCCAGTTTCAGAGACGCGACTGAGCATGAAAGAACTTTTCTCTGTTTGCAAAGGGCAAGAACCCTAATTTATTATGATCCCCATCATAAGGAAACCAGGAGATAAACTTATCAATCACATCGCAACGATCTGGCTTGGTCTCTACATCGTTAATGCCCAGGTTGTAGTTTAGTATGATTGTCTGTCTGGGTTGTATGATTTGAGTTTGAAGGTTGGGGGAGAAATGGTGGATTTTTTGTGGTTTCAAGAGGTTTTTTTTTTTTGTACAGGGAGAGAGAAGCAGACATGTTCCGATATGAATGGTGTCACTGTCTAGTGATGATGGTGATATTCTATGGTTGTGTGTATGTATGTATGTATGTATGTATATGTGTATGTATGTACAACTATACTGGGAGTGTGTTTTCAGATCCCTTGAAAAAGGTGAGAAATTGACGGAGAATATCAAGAAACACGACAAGGGTGTGTCAGTGTGTATGCATTGGATAAATATTTTAAGTAAAATATCAAAGAAAAGCTTTACGTGTGGTGCACTCAATTCTTTTTTAAGAGTAAGCTCATGTCACGTGACTTGCCGGTGATGTCACGTGACCACACTCCTCTCCCTCCCCTGAGATCCGATCGATCTCCATCTGTTGTTTTTTCGGTTTTCCTCTCTCGCTCGCTACCTTCTGCTTTATCTTCTTCACGATTCCTGAGCTCCCTATGCATCTTCAATGGCGACGATAAGCAAAGCCCTAAGGCCGAAACCGGCTCCGGGCTCTCAACGTCTTGTTCTTCTATGTATAGTTTTCTTCGCTTTGCTCCTCCTTTTGTCTTCCGTGATCTCCACCGGCGGATTGGGTTTGCCGTATCAGAAAACCCTGTTTGATTATTTCTTGAGATCTCCTCGTGGCAAGAGACAACATACTTTGTCGGAGAAGTACTTGTATTGGGGAAACCGAGTTGATTGTCCTGGTAAGTACTGCGATACGTGTGCGGGTTTGGGTCATCAGGAATCCAGCCTCAGGTGTGCCCTCGAGGAAGCCATGTTTCTCAACAGGTGATTTGCTCATATGCATTTTCCTCAGGTCTCCATTAGAGAAGTTGGTAAATTCTTGCTTGCAATTCAGCTCCATTTTTATTTGGATTAGAAAGGGGAGAAGCTGGTGATTTTTTTTTTTTTTTTTTTTTTTTGCGATTACACTAATTTCTTAGGTATCTGAGCAAGTTTCAGCCTGCTGAATTGAATGCTCCTCTTGGATGAAATGGTAGTTCGAAAATGCTGAAGCTTCATGAGTGATAACAGTGTCTTTGGTTCTGTTGTTAGCTTATGTAATGTACTAACTGGATGCTATGTCTTATTTCCTACAACATTGTATAATGATATACAACAGTTCAGGGGATCTAAAATTGCTGTTAGCCTCTGTCAGGTGTAGGAAAGAACTTGAATTTGGTTTTCTAGTATGTTTTTACGATCTTTTTTCACATTGCAGGACCTTTGTGATGCCTTCTCGGATGTGCATTAACCCGATGCACAATAAGAAAGGGATACTCCATCGATCTGCTAATGAAACTACTGAAGATGGGTGAGTGCCCTCGAGCATTTCCCTGCCGGTTACGTTGAGTTTATATTTTATCTATAGCTATGGATATCCCTGACTTCTTTGGTTTTTGCAATACCTTGGGAATGTTGAATTATGTTTTTTCACACAAGATCCTCTCCATTGCGTTGTCTAGTTGGGAAGGAAGCTCTTGTGCAATGGAGTCTTTGTATGATATTGATCTCATATCTGAGAAGATACCCGTGATATTGGACGACTCAAGGACGTGGCATATCGTGCTATCGACGAGTATGAAGTTAGGAGAACGAGGGATTGCGTATGTCCAAGGAGTTAGCCGGCGTGAGCTAAGAGATGATAGCCGCTACTCAAAGCGTTTGCTCATTAATCGAACTGCTAGTCCCCTTTCATGGTAATCTTTTTTGGTTTCCTGTCGTTATGCCTATATTTCCTTTTGTACTCTTTTCAGGGGGGTTCTGCATGATAGTATCTCTATTTCCTGGCACTGTCCTCTGTGTTAGAAATGATCGGCCCATCTGGTGAAATTGGCTATATACCAACCATTGAACAGGAAGTCGGTTCAAAAATCACGGATTATTGTTTTGTTTAGTTGATTCATATACTACTTAAGCTTTTCTAGATCCTTCTCTGGGTGTTGATGATCATTTCTGTGTAGGTTCATGGAGTGTAAAGATCGATACAATCGAAGTGCTGTTATGCTTCCTTATTCATTTCTCCCTAAAATGGCAGCGGCAAAATGGAGAGATGCAGCAGAAAAGGTGACTATTAGTAGATCTTGCAAACTAGCTTCGTTGCAAATGATTATGCTTCTTCGTTTGAGCTATTTACAATGTCTGTCAAATGTCTTCTGAGATTGTTGTCTGTTTGAGACATTTAGCTGCTTGGTTTCACAGATCAGAACACAACTCGGAGATTTTGATGCTATCCATGTTCGTCGAGGTGACAAGCTGAAAACCAGAAAGGACAGGTTTGGTGTTGAAAGGACCTTGTTTCCGCATCTAGACAGAGATACACGCCCCGAATTTATCCTTCGCAGGATCGGGAAGTGGGTCCCGCCTGGGCGGACTCTTTTTATTGCTTCGAATGAGAGAACGCCTGGATTCTTCTCACCTCTTGCTGTCAGGTAGTTACCGAATTCATGAAAAGTCTTTCTGGTTTTGTCTTAGATCATGCTTCATAATTTGGTTATTGAAAGTCCATCAGAAAATGGAATGGACATATTAGTGTCAGGAAAGGTACTTAGCCAAGCTGCTCAACTTTAAGATTCAAAGGTCTGTGCATATATATATGCATATACATATATATGTATATATGTATGTATACTGATGTAATATATATGTAGATGCACTCACAAGATGGTAGGTTTGCTTCATGACTTCGCAACTATAGTTGGTGGCACTATATAGATTGCTCCGTGAGCGGGAGTTTTGACATTGCCGTTACTGTAATTCGTTACTACAGGTACAAACTGGCTTATTCATCAAACTTCAGCCAGATTCTGGATCCCGTAATAGAGAACAATTACCAGTTGTTCATGGTGGAAAGGCTTATCATGATGGGTGCCAAGACATTCTTCAATACATTTAAAGAATACGAGACGGATCTGACTTTAACAGATGATCCAAAAAAGACAAAGAATTGGCAGAGACCCGTATACTCCGTGGATGAAAATGCAAGCTAAAGCTTTGGCTCCTACATCGTGTCCGCATCCCCTGCTTCGGGTCCGAGTGCATGGCTTCAAGCCCCGGCTAACCATTTTCAGAATCTTGTCTGAAGTCTTGAATATACATATGGAATCCAGAGCATCTTGCACGTGTGTAAATGGTTTGTACGCAGACGATGTAGTTTTTTTTTCCAGCAAAATTTTTTCCAATTTCATCAATGCATAAGCACCTCAAGATTGGATTAGCTGGATTAAGCAAGTTGTAACCAGAATATACCGTACGGTCGTAAACACTGACAGCTTCAGAAATTGCTTATTAGCCTTGAGGATATGTGGCCAGAGTATAAAAAGATTCTCGACATTTTCTTCCAACTATGAAAAGGCAAAGACTGCACATCTGCTACACAACTTATGCACTTTGTCCTAAAACTTTGATACCAAAGGAACTGTCAAATCTTTAGCCCGACCATGTGGATGGCGGTAACGTATCAGCTTTTTGGTGAAGGCAGAGATCATCTGTCTTCTTGCTCGTGATCTCTCTCACGTGGGGAAATCAATCGCGCTGTTCTTGAATTCTCGCCATTAAAATTATAGAGACCAGCCTTTTCCCAGTTAGTGGGACTGTGCTTCGAGAAGGGCGTTGGTGGCTGCATTGACATCGTTTCTGGTTTGGACCAGAGCCTGTCTTGCTGCGTTCCTGTCAAAACCCATCGAGACCAGCGTTGCTATGGCTTCCTCTGGTGGCTCCAATGGCGGGATTGAGGCTGGGAAAGATCTCTGAAACTTAAAACATGGAAAGTTCGATCAGATGAAGAGGCCGTTTTCAGATGGCAAACATGAGTAAAGGAGAGGCATGAGCCTTCTTACCTCGGTTTGACGACCCGGATGAGTTGACACACTACCGAGGACATT